ACTACAAATAAATATTCCACATAAAATCAATCCTTTCCCTCGTTATTAGATGGAATATAAAAAACGAATATGAAAAAAAAAAAAAAAAAAAAAAAAGAATAACTCTATCTCAATGTTCCGTTCCGCTCTAATAGACAATCTTCGTTTCAACCGACATTTCCTCCTCTTCTTCTTTTTTCCCCCCTTCTTTATATTACATTGAAACAAGTGGAAGGCACGATTACGAGTACGTAACTTAAACAGAGAACTCGAGTTTTCGTCCCGTTCGACGGATTTCATCCCCCTCCTCCCCCCTCCTCATTTGGATCGCTCATATTCAGCATCGAACGAGAAGTGACGCGGAAAGCGAAGATAGGGAGCGACGAGGCTTCGATGAAAACTATTTAGGCAGAAAGGGGGCTCCATTCGAAGGTTAATTTCCGTCTTCGATCCGCGAAAACCGATCGAAACCGATCTTCGAAAGGCGCATAGCCGAGTTTCTCTAATTTACAACGAACGAAGAGAGAGAGAGAGAGGGAGGGAGGGAGAGAAAGAGAGAAACGTAAGATTGACGCGCAAATTAATGAATTTCCAACGTCGATTCGTCAAACTTCCCTCGACATCGCTCGCAATAACCCATAAAGTAGTTAAAAAGTGACCCAGTTACCGAGCCAAAGCTTCCCAGAGATAAAAGTTGCCTCGAAATAGAGCAGGATTTTTTTTTTTTTTTTATTAAATGCGCAGGTATAATTCTACGCTCTCGTTTTCCCCCCAAAAAAGTGGGGGATTTTCTTATTAGGATAGTGTGGAATATTTACAATATTTTTATCCTGATAAATTTTATCTCTCTCGAATTTTCGAAAAGAAAAAAAAATTCTTCGATAATTTTCGAAATTGCTTTGTAAAATAAAAGAACGATTTCAGGTGTAGGAACGATATTGTTACGTGTAATCGGTGGATTTCGCGGAATTAATCTCGTGTTTCGAGCATCATGTGATTCATGTCTATTTAAAGAAATATGAGCGAATATAACATTATCTATTATAAAATTTATGCGGGAGATAATTTTTTTTTTTTTTTGAAAAAATAATTGACACGTAGTTTTCCTACGCGAAAACAGCCATAAAATTTGAAATTAATATATTGAAAAATATATATGTTTTTTGGAATATTTCGAAAAGTGGAGAAAGAAATTTTTTTTTTTTTTTAATTATACATTCGCGAATGAGCGAAATTTCGATATTATTGACGAAAAGTTTCAATTTTTAAAGATTAATATTTTGAAAAATATGTAATATTTTGAAAAATTTAAGACTTATTCGATATGCATTATCGATTACTTTTTTGAGAATTATTTTTCAAAAAAGTAAAATTCATCAAAATTGACGTACATAGCTTGGATACTTACAAATTCTGAAAATATTAATTAATTATTAAACTTATTTAATAATATTATACATGGTCAAATTGATCAATTTAAAATTTTTATAAAAATACTATTCCTACGTTTCCTTCTTTTCTTTAAATTTATATCTCTTCCTCCAAGTTCAATGACAATCTCCTTTTAAAGGGACAATTTCACAATCAATATACAACCGTGTATAATCTTTATTTTTGCCCAATATAGAAAGGAATACATTGAAATTTCAACACTGCTCGTACATAAATTTATAAATTATTATCTCAAATGTAGGAAACGCTGAACAAATAACTCCAAGAGAGAAAAATTGCGGCAATAATACGACGAAGATAAACCATCGACGAATAACCGACGGACGACGCCCTGATAATAATATAAAGAAAATTCCATCGGAATTCCGTCGAATTGCATAAACACGAAGAAATCCTGAAATTACATTGAAGCTCCCTTTTTAAAGAGACCTCGGAAATGTTCCTGTTGAACGAGGAACCCGGCAATATTACACGTGACGAGGGAAAGATGAGCCTCGCATGATTGAGCCTCCACCTCAAGCAAATTTCTCACTTTGATCGCGAAACCACGAAAAAGTTACTAGCCGTGATATCAAGACCGATTTGGCATACCAATCTGGTATACACAGGAATAAGGGATCGATTTCAGAAATAGTTACAACTTGCGAAATGATGTGATATTGTCCGATTTAACGGATATTGCTACACGATGGGGGAAAAAAAATTATGACAAATGGCCACTTTGCCATTTTGCTTTGGACGAAAAATAACTCGTGAAAATAAAATATCAGATAACGAGGAACGTTTTCGATATTTCTTTAGCGTTATTTAACCTGAAATTTCGTGAAAATAATTTTAATTATATTGGAGATTCGGAAGTTTTTTTTAATCGTTTAATAGAGACATTTTTCTGGACATCTGATGTTAAGTTTAATTCGTTTAAATTTGGAAAATTGACAAAAGCGAAAGTTGATAATTATTTATGTATTTTTGCAATAATTAATGGCACATTGTTCTCCTCCATTCGATATTTAATGAATTTATGCTTCCTTCAAGAAAAGTGCAAATAAGATTTCGAATATTGCATTTGCATACGAGTAAATATGAGTAATGCTGTTGGTATATGCAATTATTTTTGATTTCGTTTTTAATTTTTTACAAATATCTCTCGTACTTATCAAAAGATCCTGAATAACTGAAGATCTTTCTCAATTTTTGGTATCAAATACGTTGAGCGAAAATTGAATGAAAAAAAAAAATTTATCGATGCATATTTTTAAATGTCTAATTTGAATTATTGGATTTTATTGAAATTACTCTAAGATAAATGTAAATATAAAAGAATCGTTATCGAGATAATTCTCATGTCAATTTTACACTTATAATCTCCCTGAGGATGAATAAAAAATAAAGAGGAAACTGAAGACGTAACAATTCATAAGTTACATAAGTGTTATTTTGCAAGAGTTCGCAATTTTAAAATATTTCCTTGTTTTTTTCACAATTTTCTAATTATTCATCTGCACAATCGTCTACCCAATATTAATAAATAAAAAGAATCCAGTATCAATATTTTATAATCATTTGATTATAGAATAGATAAAAAGAAGAAGAAAAACAATCAGCTAAACTTTTATTTTTTATTATATACGTATATCCTTCAATTTGCCAATAATTTATTCACGATTTCCGGGAAAGGAAACTTTGTTAATTTAAATTAATTTGTTAAATAAAGAGAAGATAAAATAGCCTCTCTCCGATTTTTTCCCCAAGTGCTTGTACAAAGCCAGATCTTTTGATACACATTCTAAAGAGCTCTACTTATTAGATACCTCCACCTCGTTTTATAGTCCTCGAACAACGATCACCGTAACTTTCGAGCCGGTCTAATTGTCCACGATAGAAAACCCAAGAGCTACTTCGATTTCCTTTCGATAACGAGCGAGAGATATCAACGGGCACGAATCAGCAATTAAATTCCACGTTCGAAGCGACACGACCACCATTATTTTAGATCTATACGATTAATTATAATATCGGCCGCAATAATCAACAAAGGCCTAAACCTTAATAACCCGAATAGATACGAGCTGCATTCCACGAATGCCAAAGAGAAAATGAAAAGTGATCTTTTCAAGTGGCCGACTCGTCCGTGCTTCGGGTCAGCGGGAAGCAAGCGTTAAACCCTGACCTTTGCAGAGATACGTGAAACTATTGCCACGAATGATTTGCGGGAATTAAAAAGCGTTTTTAATACCGGGATTATTGCGATATTATTATTCCTCGTGAAAAATATTTCATGATGTTTGATTTAGCGTGTGTGAAATCTAACACATTTTGAGAATAAAATTCACGCGTATTTTTTTCACGCAATCGTCGTGTTATTTTACACACGTGTGCACTGTGCTATTACTTGTTGCTGTGTTGCACATTTTTTTTTTATTTTTCCTGATCGAATTGAAAAAATTTTTCACGCACAGTGAACGGGGACGTATCGCATCCCACGGTATGATTTACAAAGCTATAAGAGAGAGGTAGAGTTATTCCGCGAATGCGAATCATTCGAAGATGCGTGGAAATGTATAATGCTGTCACGAATTGTGAATCGTTCGTATGAAATTGCGGATATACGAGCGAGAGATAAAAATAACGGACGATCGTCGTTTGTTTAATCCGATTTTAATATTATTTTACGCGAAATGAACTGCAAATTTCGTCGAATTGCGAATTTTCCAATCGATTTTTTGCTTTTTTGTTTAATTGATACTTATTTTATTCGTAATTATCAAGAATATTATTTTAAATTATTATAAAAATATTAATTTGTGCAATTTTATTATTTAAATTTAGATTGTTTATAATAATAATAAGATTATATTTTATATTATTTATAAATAAATTAATTATTTTTGAATGATTGATTTATTCAATTAATTCAATAAAATTTAATATTTGTATTTTTAGTAAGAATAATTTTTTCAATAATTATTATTTATGGAATTAGATATATAGATTTAAGAATATATATAATGGATCGATTTTTTTATTTAATAATTTTATTTTTAATTTCAATATATTATATTTCTTTATCTAAAGACACGAATAAACAATAATATTTGTCGATATTTATCAATATTGGTATTATTTATCGCACGTGAATTTAAAAAGAAATATCGTTGCACAGATATATTGAACGTTATTATCGGTCATTTTTAATTAAATCTCATTTTCAAATAAATTATATTAATTTCGAAACGAAAACAAAGCTGTCTTAACTCTCTCCTTATTTTCAAATAAATACGACACGGCATACATACGCGTTAGATAAGAGATATAATATAGATAATAAATTCTCCTATTTAAAATAAAAAAAAAATTAAAACTATTTACCGCAATCTATTTTTTCTGGCCAATTCCAATTCCCAATAATAATAACTACAAATAATACCAGACAACGTAAATCGTTATTTTTAATATTATATTGCATAATTATAATTTTAATATTATATCTCTCATCATATCGTTTCGAGCAGAAGAAAAATCAAAATCAATGAAAAAGGAGAGAAAATGAATCATAATGTAATTCCTACCTTATCGAGATATTGAAATCCATGCTCCCGCGCGACCTGCTGGGCCACATCCGGTCCCCCCTCGATGTGCACTGCCCACTGATTCGTATAGGCTGCCACTCGTCCACCAAAAGTCACCAGCGCGACGATGGCCAGTCCGAAGATCCTCCGCGGGCACATGATAGCTCTGCCTCTCGACTGCAACTGCTGCTACCACTTGCGGCTCCAGTTTCACACTCGTCACTATTATCCGCACTATCCACACTGAAAACCGCTACTTCTCTACCGGCGAACCGAGGAGGCAACGAGCATACAAGAACAACGACAACAAACAACGGCACCAGCACAGCCACCACGTCAACACGGCCCACTTATCTCTATCTATCTATCTATCTATCTATCTATCTATCTATTTATCCATCCATCCATCTATCTATCTATTCGAGCACGATGGAAACGAACCTTTTTCCCAACCGAAAAACTCGTCGTTGGAAAAAGATGGACGATAATAAGACGGATAAGGAGGCGGGGGAAGAAAAGAAAGAACGGAAGAGGGAGGGGGGAGATAACAAAAAAAAAAAAAGGATAAAATGCAAGAGCACGAACGACTCTCGCACCTGGGTTGACCGTCCGCGGCTAACTGAACCACCAACGGCCTATGTCACTCGTTAAGTAGCCTCCTCGCTTGCGAGTAACCGATGACTTACTCCTCCGCCGTTCTTCTTCCTTCTTCCTCGTCGTCGTCGTCGTCGTCGCCGTCGTTGTTGGTGTCGTCGATCGTCGTCGTGGTCGTCGTGATGCGCTCGCCCTCCCCACGTCGGTCACGTTGCTGCCACTGTCGCCGCTTTCGCTCAACGACGAACAGCGGTAGGTGGGGCGATCGTCAAGTCATGTGGCCGTAGTTGGTGGGGAAATGAACGTGATTCTCCGTGATACCGATTATCGTGGTCTCGCACCGTCCTGCACGTGGCCGTCCTTCTGAATCAAGGGCGAGGCGCGTAGTAAAGGAACCGGTGTTCCGCGTTGTTCACCGTCCACTTTGCCTTCATCCGCCGACCCCTGGATAGAAAGTGGCCACTTGTCTTCCACGCCGAGAGAAAGGAAAGGAAAAGAGAGAGGAGGAGAAAAAAAAAGAAGGAAGAACCCACCTTCCGACAAACTCCTTCTCTCTTCGTTCCTCTAACTAGTTCCTCTCTCTCTTTCTCTCTCTCTCTCTCTCTCTCTCTCTCTCTCTCTCTCCTCTATTTCGCTCGCCAACTTTTTGATTACGTGATGGAAGATCGGCAACGACCTTCGACAAACTGTTATTCCAAACAGAATAGGCCGCTTCTTCCCTGTTCTTCCCGCCTTTCTTCCCCCTCTTCTCCCACTCCTCTATCGGGCAAGACTCGTGACGTGGTGGGGGGACTCTTCGTTCCAACGATCGCGAAGCGGGGAGTGTGACGAAGAAACTCGGAGACGGTCAAGGGGATCACTTCAACCGTATACGAACAGCATTTGGTAATACGAGGCAGAAATGGAATATCACGGATAAAGGATTATCGTTCGAGTGGGCCGCGGCAGGAGGAAACGCACTTATAGGCCGGTTATCCGGTACCGGGGCACACAACAGTCCACCGACAGAAGTGACGGAACGGTTGGCCAGCCATTCAGAGGCTGCCAATCGTGGCAGGCAGTTATCGACCGAAAAGTCGGTCGATTCACGTCATCGACCGTTGCATCCTCCCTGCTGGCTGCATACCTAGGAAAATTCGTCGATGACTCGTTCCCTCGCTTCGTTCCGCTCTTCTCTATTTCGCTCCGTTTTAGCTCATCCTCCGTCCAGGATCGAGATCTGAAAATCGTATTCCTATTAATTTCGAATCATAATTGGATAGATTTTGATGAATATGGGGAATTTTCTTTCAGTATCGGGCAACGGAATACGCTTATTTTTAACCATTCTTAATTAAGCTTAGGCAATCTAATTGTATTTTAGGAACATTCGCAAATAGATGCTCTAAAATCTTTTTTAATCTTTTTGAGAGACTAGAATAGTTAAACAGTTAAGAAAAAAAATTTTTTTCACAAATGAGAGGTTGATATATTTAAAATAAATAATTGAAAAATTTCTTCTCTAATTCTTTTTTTTATATCCTTTCCTATATTTTTCGAAACGTACGCGTGACATGAAAGATACATCAATCCTTGACTGTCACGGCTTGGTGTAGTGATTTACGACCGAATAAAGAGATGGTTAATGTTATGGAAAATAATATAATATAATAAAAAATATATATACATAACAAAAAAATAATTTATTAAGAAAAAAATATGTTTCTCAAAGGATTAATTAAGAATCTTAAGAATCCTTTTTAGAAAGATATGTTGAGATTCAAAGATAATTGAAAACAATATGGACCAAGGAAAATCGTTCGTTAAAAGTATAATTACTCGAATTGCGGAATAAACTCGACTCGTTTGCCTCGCCTCGTGTTTCTTTCGGAAAATTACAAATTCCCATAAAACAACGGCCGCAACAATCAAGATTTAATTACGGTCCAGTGAGGTAAACGAGAATAAACCAAAACATCAACGTAACCAGCCATTGTTTGCATATCAATGAAGACCTAACTAATGTCCAACCAGCATCGTCCATCTCTCTGATTAGATTTTGATGGTTTTAGCTTTATGTAACACGATATTAACACGACCATTTCCACAGTTTTCTATCCAAACTATCCAGGGACAAGCTTATTAGCTTATTAGATTGATTCGAATTTCCAACGAAGTTGCATTTTTTGATAATAAAATCAAGTTGGCCTTCCTTTCCCAAGTTTTTAACTGGGAAGTTTTTAACTGTGCACGCAACTCGCATCATCTTCGCGAGTGAAGAGTGCTCGAACGAGTCAGATTTTCAAATGAAAAGAAACAGGATCGATAGACGTCGGAATGGTTACACGGTATACCGAGAAAATTGCATTCAGTGTGTAACTCGACCTGATTTCCTTCGTACGAGAGATTTACTAAGGAGATGCAAATTTTCTGTTTTCTTTTTCTTTTTTTTTTTTTCTTTTTCTTTCTCCCAATTTCCCTCCTCCTCCCTCCCCCTTTTTTAATGAGGTTGACGAGCTACCGATCTGTTTGATACTTTCGAAAGGGGGAACACTATACACTGTGAATTTTTCCTTGTTCTTTTATACATTCTGCGAAATAAGTTGTGCTTTTTATTCGAGCGTTCTTGAATCATTAGTGATCCAAGAGAAACGTATTAAAAAGAGTAACAACGTTGATATTAGAATTTTTATACTTGGAAAAAAATAATTCAAAAAGCTGGTTTAATTAAATTTTTACCAAGATAAATTTATTTTCATTCTAATTTATTTTCATCTTAATTTAATTATAATCGTGCGTTTACGAATTATATATTTATTTATATATTAATAAAAAATGTTATGAAAATTGTAAGAGAAAAAAATTTTAAGAATAAAGAAAAATATTTGACGTTAATTTTTTTCTTTCTCCCAACATCTTCCACGAGAAAACTTTTTTCCAAATTTATATATTTCCTTCGAGGATTGCATTCGAGGATATTTGACTAAAGAAGAAGGGAAATACACGAGAAGTTTACAGTGTGTGTGTGTGTATTAACATAGTGTGAAAGAAAAAAAAAGGAACACGAACAATCAAATTTCATGGAAAGTATAGGAACGAGCATCACTCGTCCCGGACAACCACGATTTCTTGGAACGAGAACCTTGCTCCCTGAGGGAATTGTACTTCTGATGTAACACTGATCCCAATTTCTCTTTTTTGGGGTAAGCTTTTATGCGATGCGACATAAATTTTCGTCGACGTCACACGTTTCCTTGCGCACAACATCCAACACGATACAAGTTTTTTTAAATAAATCACTCGACTGTATAACAAATTACCTGGTAAAATGACAATCTCTGCGTTTAAAAATTTTCCACGTTTAGCATTATTTTCCCTTACGTTTGAAATCAATATTCGATAAATAATATTAAATACGTTTAATTTCAATTTCTCGTGATATAAAAAAGTGATGCTTATTGTATTTATTATCATGAAAATCCAAATGCTACATCTTTAAATTGAGATAAAAAGCAAACCGGTTGAGATATTTTAGGTTTTTTTATTTTGATATAAAAGCCCATTTTATGAAATTTTAGGATATTGAATATTATTCATTGAGCGAAATAATGAAAAAAACTGAAGAAATCGATCGAATGAAATTGTGTCCAATTAATATCGTATACGATTTTATATTGAAATAATAAAATCTGAAATATCTCGAATAGTTTTTGTATTATTTCAATTTAAAGATTCATTGAATTAGAATTCGTATTATTAATAATTTTTATTAGCTTTTATTTTCTGAAAATGTGTTTTATTTTTTTAATAATTTTATTTTTACGAATAATTGAAGAATAAACACATAGAATTCCAGTTTTTCTTATAATATCAATTATGTCAATAACCTAGGTATCTTTTTACTTAAAACATTAAATTAAAAATTTTCAAATCCAATTATACCATTGTTATTTGTTTCTTTCGATTTATATTCCAATTTTATTGATAAAAATATTATTAAATAAAACAGAAGTTGAAATGAATATCGTAAATATTCAATAAAAATTAAAATATTACAAATATTTTCAAAACTTAAAGCAGAAGAGAAAGAGAAAGAGAGGGAAAAATCTAAAATTTTATCAAGCAAAATAAAAAAAAAATTCACTGAAACTCAACGATCCCTTTAAACAGAAACCGTACTTCACATTGTTGAACGACCTCTGCATACCTGAATTGCCTATTAATCAAATACAACCTCTTGCTGTCGAATACTAACTGGATTTCGGATTTCTATTGAATGTTTCTCCAGCCGAAATTGCAATTGATCCTGGTATACGTTCCACGGCATAAAGCCGAGATACATCTATATTTTTTTTTTTTTTTTCTAAAATCAATGCAATACTTGGATATCAAATTTTATTTTATATAAAATATATAATAAAATATAAAAGAAGAATGCTCGCGATTATATGATATTTGACGAGAATATTTTATGACGAAATTATAAAAATATAAAAATATACGATGGATGTAATATCGAATAGAAAAGATTCTTTAAAAATGTATCTTTTGATAAAATATATTTTCACCAGGTTTTGATAAATTGTACTATTTAATTCATGCCTCAAAACATCGGTAATGGCATCGTAATTAAATTGAATATAATGAAAGGGAATATTTTCAGAATGTAAATTTAAAATTTATAATTAGTTTCATCAAAGGAATAATTTTGAAATTAATTTATAATGTTTCTTTCTATTCTCATCTTTTCAATAAAAATATTATTATAGAAGTTAATTTGTTTTCTTCTCTCGAATTAAAATTGTTATCCAAAACTGTTAATTAAATAAATATTTAATTCTATATAAATACACGTTTCGACGTAAAAATTACTTCATAAAGAGTTAAAAACGAAAATTTTTATCTACTTTGAATTATAACACAATTCGACATTTAAGCATTTCAAAATGACAAGATGTAAAAATATTTATATTATTAACACATATATTATAATTTTTTATCATCACATTGATCAATTTGTCCGTGAACCATATTTCTCAATATTATTTACAAATATTATCTCTACGAAACAGATACCCTCATAACATGTCAATTGATTAAGAAACACTGAATCAAACCCAATCCATATTACCAAAATATAAAAATATCTTACAAAATGTTCAATCAAACGTAATATAAATTGATGATTATAAAAAATGAACAAATATATTTGGATTAACGTTCCCCAATCGTATCGAAATAATAAATAATTTCACTCGTATTTAATACTTCTCGCGAATGTCCACGAATGTCCTGTGGGGATTCGATATTCAAGGCGCACCATTTCCACCGATTCTACGGTTTCAAAGAACGAAATGGAAACGACTATCGTGGCGTATTATCGATGCATTTTAAAGGTGGCTGGATTTCGTGAAAAAGGGCACGATTTTCCAAGCTGCGGTTCGCTTGGTTACAATTCGATAGAACGTTTACACCGCGATCAAGTGAAATTGCGTTTGTGATATTCGTTTCCACGAGCCAGTAAATTTTAAAGCCCCTATTTTCAACGTGGAAATACGGGGCACAGATTGTAACAAATATTTCCATCCCCGAAATCCACCGTAGCTCGAGACTTGACTTGATAAATGGCGAAAAACAGATTAAAATTTGAAATTTCTATCCCCTCCCAAAAAAGCATTTGTATTCTTTTATTTTCATTTCCATATATCATTTTTATATTATTTTCGTTGGTTAAGTTGCTACAAAAAACGTTTTAGATTAAATTCACAAGTTTCCAATTGTTACATTTATCACTCTTATCGAATCATTTTGTTATGGACCAACTTTAAAATTCTATGAAGTTTAAGATTAAAACAAATCTGGATTGAATTGTTCCGTTGTCGAGTTAAACGAACATCTTGAAGTTTTAAATATATGTAAATGTAGCGCACAATGCTGCTGTTATCTCGGAGGAAAAACTCTTTTTTTGCATACTTGTCCTGCATTTTACTCGAAGTTGCAGCACACAATGAAGAAAAACTGAAGATTCGCATTATCGTCACGTTCGAGCGACGTTCCAGACGATTCAACTTCCGGGGAGAGGATATTGGTGGCGCTACAGATACATAACTTCGTGAAAGCTCTATTTTATGTCCGAAACAAGTTACATTTCCTTTCTACCTGACTCCTGGTATTTCATCCTTCCCATAAATACGAAAAACTTTATATTTTGTCAAAATAATAACAGCCACTTTTTTGTTTCTTGAATAAATAAATAAATAAAAAAAAAGAAAAACAGAATCAGTTCCTTTGATGTTGTTGAAAAATGTTTATCCAATCGAAAAATCTCTATCTACAAACAAATATATTTTACTCTAATTTATCCTGTTTCGAAAATCCTTGTATTTCCAAATAAATTCGAAAGTCTTTCAAGTTGAATTATTTTAGAATATTCTTGTTATTCCACAAGTAATATGCAATTATCAAGAGTTATTTATTATAAGCTTCACGATTATACATAACATTAGATAGGTTTTTTAATTAAAAATCAAATATAAATTTGTTGAAAAGAAAAACTTGTTTCAATCGTAAATTGAATAAGTAAATTTTTCGTAAATAAATAACGATGAATAAACGATTAAAAAAAGTTTGTAAAAGTAAATGTTATTTTTCTATTGAAATTACGTTTTTAAAATAAAAATTGCTCAATGGATGATTTAATATTTATGCTCATCTGAGTATTTACATCGTATATATACATCGATAAGACATTCATAAAATCATTAAGATACGAATATGAATCGTTAAAGTATGAATCACCTCAAATGTGTGCATATGAAGACTACTTTACATGGAATCGAGGTTAAGGTCGATGCTGACGATTGAAAATACGAATTATTAAATCTCGCAACATCGATTTTGGCAGAGATACATCTCAAATACGACGTCACATTTCAACATAGATATATATTATTCTCAAACTACACAACCATAACCGAATCAATATTCTCTTTTTCCTTGCAATTTCAACAGAAAGGACAGCAATTTTAACATAATTATTCCCGCATTAATATTCTACATTTAACGCAAACACAAATCAAAAATTAAATCGAATTTCATGAACATTATACTATTATTACAGACATATTAAAATTTTCTTTATTAGCGAAAATTAATTAACTAACATAATTATTTTACAATTTGATTATATCTAATTCCATAATTAATTATAGAATTAATCAACTAAGTTAGGATAAAAATTTTTTTAAAAAAAAATCTCAATCAAATCCAACCATTGATGTATCCGCAAACAAATTAGATTAAATTTCCCCTGAAACTCTAAATGCAAAGCTTCCACTCGAATCACTTAAATTCAAATGACACGATTAATCTAATATCTACTTAAGATCCGGTTGAACTTGTATATACGGGTACAAGTTTAAAATCAACTCACTTAAATTCAACCGACTTGACTAATCCGACCAAAACGTAATTCAATTATACCCGCTTCCAAGCACACTTATTATTCCCGTCTTCCCTTACTCTAACTCTCTAATGTCTATATCCATTCGCTAATCTGACGCAAGAATTATGAAAATTACCGCTCCACGATATCCTCCCTCCTTGATATCCCCCAGGTATCCCAATATTATGTCACGGTCACGAAGGGCGAGCGACAGAAAAAAGAGACGCGTTGGACATCGTCGGAGCATCGAGCAATGGAACACATCTATGTACTTTGGTGCCCGAGGAAATTGCATTCTGCGGTCTTCCTCCTCCACTTCCGGAGGAGCTCGGTGCTCCGGTGATAAAGAGGGAACAAGAGGGGAGGGCGACGCACGACAGGGCAACGTTGTTGAAGAAGTGAATCAAATTTAAGCCGACTCTGCCTCTTTCGTTCCATCTTTGACCCACCGTTATTATTATCGCTTCGTCTTTCGTTCCGCCACGTCACTTCTACCGACCATTTTTCCCTTCTTCTACTTCTTCTTTTTTTTTTNTTTTTTTTTTTTTTTTTTTTTCAATTCTCAAACAAAGCACGCAAGAACCTTTCGAATGGTCCATCGTCGGCCTGGCAACGAGCAAATGGAAAAGAGAGGAGAGGCTGGACGCGTGCACACGCCGGCAAAATGAAAACGAACCAGGCTGAAACCTCTTTGCCAGGTAATAACCGGCGACCTTTGCCCCCAACGAGAGCTCTGCCTACCTGGCCGCTACGTGACCGAGTTCTCTTTCTGAGAGGAACCGATTTTTACGCACGGTCGACGCGTATCACCGGATGCTCCGAGAAGAAAGAGCCTGGATGCAGCTGCGAAAATGTTCTGTGACGATGAATGTTCGGTGATCGGATGAAGGGAATGATCGATTGGGCCTCGATTGGAAAATTTTGATGTCTCTAGTGAGGTTGCAGTGAATGTGAATCTCGTGAATGGAAGAATGAATTACGGTCAAATGAATTCTAATGGAATTTATTAGTTGTATGATTGATGTATGTAAACGTTTAATTCGTGTAAATGGATAAAATATTTCTTTATTACAGTGAAACTTATTTTAAGAACAGGATATATTGGAAAAATAGTTAAATGCAATTTTATTGCGAAGAGAAATGTTATGGATTAAAACTTTTCTATTTTTTTCTACTTTTGTTGTATCGAATATATTTATGTATGCAAAATGAATTTGAACGAATTGCAATATTAAAATTTTAATAACACAAGGATCCGATATTTAAATAATTCTTTCGCACACAAAATAATAAATTGAGTGAAGTGTCTGAATATTAATGTGAATAACTGTATATGATGACTAGTAGTAATATAGAATTCATTGAACTTGCAATGATTGATTGAATATATATATATATGATAAATGATAAAGAAGATTTTATTAATAATAATTTCATCGAATAATTCATGTTAGCATTATTGAATTAATTTAGTAAAAGAATTTCTACCTTTTTTTTTGATCTATTTTGAATAATTGTTTCTTTTAATTATAATAAAAATATTCTAATAGATTTCTGAGGCTTACACTAAAAATATTTTCTATTTGAAATTGATTGTAATGAATTTTAAAAATCACAGTGAAAAGTTTTTACTATCATAGCTTTGATTGATAAAAAGTGACCTATTTTGCTTGAATTTTTAGAGCATATTTATTTTCAGATATTTCCTTTTTTTTTTTTTNTTTTTTTTTTTTTGGTAATTACATGCAGATATATCTAAAAAAAACAACACTTAATCACGTATCTCCTAACAAATGAATAATGCATGAGCTATTGAAAATTCATTTACCAAAAAATATTTATAATTTAGATTCTAAAAATAAATGTGTACATCCTAAAATAAACTTTTATAATATTTTAGTTTTCAGAAATTCATAATGATAATTAAAAAAACATGTAAAAAACATATATAATAATAAAAATATTTTCTATCATATTTCATATTTCAATTATAAAACAATAAATGAAAAAACACATAAATAATTTTTCGCTTAAAATATACAAATTAACAATATATCAATTATAAATTTTCAAAATTGCGCGCCATATGTTTTAATTGTTCTTTAAATTAACTATAACAAATCATGATTACGTATTTAATATATTTAATGAAAACAATAATGTAATAATATATAATTTGACAAAATATCACTAATATAATATCATGTTCATTAATATAATGTTAATGAAAAAAAAAGTTAAAAAATTAACTATTAAAAATTGTTAGGTTATGTATTGTTGCAAACTTTCAAATATAAATTATACGTAATAACGAAATTTATCTCAATACTTCAAAACAATTATATTATCGAAAGTATGTACAAAATCAATCTCGAGAAAATTAAATATCTATAATCTGTATCTACTCTTTAAAAATGACATCTACTTACGCAATGATCATTACCGCAAACAAAAGGAATGCCAACGAACCGACCCATGCAAGGGCCTTTCTCGTAACAGGAAACACTCGGGGTCATGGACTGGCATAAAGTTCATGCAATGAGAACACGAGACGCGCAGAAAACCGGCTGGTTCAACTCACTCGTTAAGATAACACGGTTGTATATTCCACGTATAATTTCGTGCGACAGGAAGACAAATAAAAATTTAAACTGTCACTTTATCGTGTAAGAATCGCGACACAACCGACGACCAGTCCTCGATTGACAATAAACGTGCGCAGTGTTTTACCGCGCAGCGTCACTTTCAAGTTTCGATAATCAGAATCGCGATATCGAACCGCGTGATCGAGATCATGTCGACTATATATAACATTTGAGAGACGTTTAAAAATCAAATATGGCCGTCGAACAGTTGTTCTGATAATAATAACAATAAAATTGAAATGTAAATACTATCTATTCTAATAGTTTGAAATATATTCAAAAAAAACACGCTGATCTTTCGTACGGACGAATAAAAAGACGTAAACAAACCCGTCCTCGTGTCGATACGAACCACGTAATAGACAACACAATACGACGAACGAACGACGTTACATCTAGACTCGCGAGGAAATCATCATGTGATAAAGTTTAAACTGCACGGTTCGTGGAATCGTGCACAAGAATGTAGATAGGTTAGAAATGAGACACGACTGCACGTGGGCAGAAACACGCCTGTCCCGCCACCGGGATGCACTGCGAAATAGCAAAGCTGTCAAGATACGTTTCTATGTTGTCGAAAGATGAACGCGACAAAGTTGCATACAAGCATACGCGTATATATATATATATACGCGCACACAATTGATATACTATACGCGGGGAACTCGTTACACGAGGCCATCTCAAGGTAACGGTTCCCGGACATTTGGTCTCGATACCAAAAGGAGAAATTAATAGAGAGCTTTGATTTGACAGCTCGCGAGAATTATTCGTAATAAAGAGCAGGGCACGCGGTCGTGTTTATTAATAGATTTCACTCACGATTTCAGCTGGTGTTCCGTTGGCTCTCCTTCAATCGAACTGTTCTGCGCGTACCACTGGTCTTCTCCGTTGTCGTGGAGCCGTCGATACACGCTCTCGTCGTACACAGAGAGATACTCCAATCGAAGCGAGGAATGCGGAAGATGGAGAAACGGGGATAGAACACCGCACAGTTGCACAGCCTGGGAAACACGCCTCTCGGTACCGCCAAACGAGACTGATTCACGATTACTCGCCACAGAACTGAATACACGATCGTGACATGTATACGTAAAGCGAGCCGCGTGTAGTTTTTATATCGTGTCACCGTCGACGCGCGAATGTCGAAACGTGCAACGTCATTCCTCGTTGCGATCTCATCCCTACGACGAAGCACGGCTGACTGACGGTTCGGTCCGCCACTCCGTTCCAATCTTCCCCTACTACCGCGCAGCGCCTTCCTCTCCCCACTCCGTGCCCCCACCATTCGACTAGCTTCTCCCGCCGTCGCAACTCGCAGCCCCGCGCGTCCCACGCCACCCGCAGCGACGTTCAGTCACTCGGCAATCGCCTGCCTGTGTACTACTCTTTCTCTTTCTTGCATTCTGTGTCCGTGCCGTGAAACAGAGCGAGAGAGGTTTGGACACGGCGCGAAAGGTTGAGGAGACTACCAGTGTCGTCGTAATGTTACGGGTGTACCCGTTAGCCGCTTGTACCTTTTCCATCATACATTAATATGCATAATATAATTCGAAAGACGATTCTTTTCTTTTATTTATATATATAGGAGAGAAACTCTGTCTAAAGATTTATTAGTACACGATCCGATACAAGAAATAGTTTTAACAAGAATATAACTTAAAATGTTATTAAATTAATATTCTTTTCGTATTATATTAGAATAAATACGAACAAGAAGAGATTCTTATTACGCAAATATTAAATTTTTTAAATTAATGAAATTTATATTAAAACCTAGTATTTTAATTCTAAACATAAACATTCATAATTGTTACGACGTATAATAATACGTAATATATTCGATTCTTAATCATTGGTGATATAATAAATTAAACTATTAATCAAATATAAATTGTATACAATACAATTAAATCTCGTTAAATCATAACAATCTAACAAAATAATCGTAAAATTCAACACATTATCACATTTATCACAATCGATAAAACATTTGTGTTCCAGAATTGAATAAAATTCTCTTGCACGTTTCAGAATCCACGAGGCAGAAGTTTCGCACGAAAGGGAGCGTATCACCTGACCGTATTCCCCAGCTTAAGCCCTCTTTGCTGCAGTCATGGGCCCGGCAAGGTCCTCGATCGTCCCTGGGGGTTCCGGCAGAAAACTCGTCCCTCTCCATCATACTGCAACCCTCTTCTTTCCGCTCGTTCGTCTTCTAGCCACATGCATGTAGGGCTACGTCTTCTCTGGCGTGCACCAGTGTCTTCAGCCTCCGTCAACCTGGTTTCTCTGGCTCGAGCCTCCTCTTTCTCCTTCGGCCCCTTTCATTCTTCTTCTCCCCTGTTGTCTGGGCCCTTGCAGGTCGAGCCAACGAGGACGAAGAGGGAGAGAACAAGCGGGAATATTGAGCAGGCATTCCAATTCCTGCCAGTTACTCTCATCCACATTCGATTCTTTTCAATCTTATCTTATCCACCTGTCTGGCCCGTGTCGATGAAGCTCGCGAGCGAGCTTATTCGAATATATATTCAGAGGGAGGTACAGCTTGTTGTTTGTCACTAACATGAGAACGCTCGCTGATATGCCATTGGATGCATGCTAAACGAGCGTGCCGATAACGAACTGGGATACGATCGAACGACGCATCCGGATTTCCGTGCATCTCCTGCCTGCCTTATTTACTGTATACCGTGTCTGAGATCAATTGCCTGCTCAAGGCCACTCAAGGGTTACTCCCTGTTATAGAAGTCGATTCAATGCTATTCTCGAGTGGAACTCTTCGATTTTATTTTCTTTTTTGTATATTGTCTATCGAGTAATGTAGGGAAATCGATGTAGAGATGACAGTTAAAGATAAGAGATATATATATATATGTTTTGACAAACTTGTGGTCTAAGTTTAAAAAATTGGAATAATTGGAACAAAGATTTATGCAGTTATTACTTTATGTGAATATATATATTTAATTATTATTTTTAATTTTAAACCGAGGTTTTATAACTTTATAGTAAGTTTTTTGAATTTCTCTAAAGTTGGTAAATTGTTACAGAATTCTCAATTTAAATGATATTGATTTAATTATTTTGTCATTGTATCTCCCTTTAGTGTTTCATTTAAAAACCTTTGACAATTATTAATAGACGTTAATTTGATATTTTATGCGATAAATAAGATGTACAATTAATTTATAATTAAAAAAATCCAAATAATATTTAATAATACCTTCTAATATTCATAAATAAAGTTATTATTAATTTTTGACCTATCAGACCTATTGTTCACTATTGTGAAAAGAATGTGTCCATAGAAATGGAAAATCAATGATGAAGATGTTCAAGCAGAAGAGCATATCGAGGAAGAGGAAAATGAGACGCCAAATGAGACACAGGATAATAAAGAGAGCAAGGATTTTCAGATTGGATAAAAATCGGCAATAAAAAGAGGAAAAAAAAAAAAACTTGAGAGAGAATGATAGAAAAAGAGATTCAGATCCTACTGGCTTTTATCGAGAATTGACGATGGATTTGTTTTCGACCTGATCCACGATATTGAGTCGCCTCTTCGTTCATCCCTATTTCATCACACTATCGCGCAGAGAGAATTCAGGGCTTCCTCGTTGTTTCGTTTGAGGTTGTTGAATGTATTACAATTTTGTTATTACGATTATTCTGTTGTAATTTTATATTTGAACAATTTATAAAGTGTATAAAAGATTAAAGAATTGGTTAATAAATAAAATTTTAAAGCAAGCATAATTTGATATAAAAAAGAATAACTTTAAGTAAATTTAGAAAAGATATTATTCGAACAAGTTATGGATAAAGTAAAAAGAATAATAATTCTTGTAAACAAATTAAAAACAATTTTATGAAAGAAAATATTAATTTATTCTTATTTATCCTTATACTTATTTATTCTTACGTTATTTTCATTCTTTATTCTTATTTTATTTTCATAAAAAAATATGTCTAAAGTAATTAGAAATGCTACATCTACAAATCAAAAAAATAAAAACAAAGATATAATGCGCAGCAAATTTTTTTTTACAAAATATAATTTCCAAAGAATAGTTCTTCTTTCCAGGATAAATACTTAAATTCCATTTAATGTTGTTTTTTTTTTTTTTTCATCAAATTAATCTCGCATATTAACCAATTAAGGACAGAAATTATGAAATCACGTATTAACAAAGCGTCCCGTTATCGATGCATATTAATGCCACGGATAATACAATTTGTCTCATGGCCGGACGTTTATTAAATTTATTGTTAATCCGTTAAGAACGGATAATACGTTATCGCATAGTTAATTCCTCCCCCTCCCCCTCCCCCCCCAAAACGCCAATTTTGCGCTGGAATAATCCCGCGTAATGAATAATTGATGTCAGAATTGGGGATCGATAGTTTTCGGAATTTCGAAGTAACACGCGCCTCTTGGCGAAAACCACTTGTCAACGGTGTGATGAAAAATTTAAGAGTTATAAGGCGAAAAGTGAGCGAGAAATGAATCTAATTCGTAAGTAGGCTCCCCCACTATGTATTTATCAATGTGTGAATTGATAGGCGAACAAGCGGACATTTCTGATACGGAAAATAGAACGAGGTTATTTTATGTGTAATCAATAGTCTCTCGTGTTCGCGAAATTGAAATATGATGTTGGTAGAAAATTAGAGGACGTGTAAATTGGTCGTGAAAGGGAAAAAAAAGAAAATTTGATAAAGAGAAATATAATATAATAATTTAGAGAAAAATACAAAAATTGTTATTTGCAAAAGAAGATTTAACGAAGCTTATTTTTCGTGTCGTAAACAATTTAATTTTCCACCAGATGAAGCGAAAGAGAGAGAGAGAGAGAGAGAGAGGGTATAGAGTAATCTAATACGAAATTAAATTGCTTATGACATTAATGGATACTTTTGTGTTTATTTTAATAAACTAAAATCATTCCATAAATTTTCTATCTGGTTTGAATGTTATATTAAGTGAATAGAAAATTTCGTATAATATAATTATTTTTCAAAGAAACATAAAATAATTAGATACATTAAAAAAAATTTTTGATTTAAATAATAATTTGAAAAAAATATTTTTAAACACAAATTATAAATATATATAATTCCTTTGTCTTCTCACTTTGTTTTCTCACGTGAATTTTAAACTTAATTGAGAATTGAAAAAATGAAGTGATATTATTTGAAAGGTGTAAAAATTTCTTTTATTTTTACCTCGAGAGAAATTAAATAGTCAGTTCGATATTATATCGAAATTTTATAGAGGATAATTCTTGGTCATTTCTTATGGCTGCGAGAGGAACACGTACCTTAAATTCCATGTTTTAATTTTCTCGAATATCAAGCAGTAATATTCTTCCATTCCATATTTCAGCCGTGTAAATGTATTACCATTCCTAGAATGTAACGCAACGTGTTACAGTACCATTATAATCAAAAGAAACGTTTCCCGAATAAACAATTGCATAGTTGATCCATGAAACATTTCTCGTGTTGTTGCTGTTTCATCTTTAACAAATTAAAAACCATCTATTTTTAATGAAATAGTGGAATGTGAAAGAGAAATAATTGTTGCATTTCTTCCGTTTCTCCTGAAAGTTACTTTGGCGAGCAAGTTATGATTATATAATTTGCATGCTACACGAGATAAATTAATCTCCTGGCTGAGGAGAAAAAGAAAATAGATTTTTGAAATAAAGAGAAATAAATAATACAAGCAAACATTTCTGTTCAGCTTCAAATAGAATTTTTTCTAAAATAATAATAAAGAAATAATATTTTAATATTAACTTATACTATAAATACTTTAAAATGAATATTTCATTTGAGATATATAACAAAATAATATAAAAATAATATAATATAAAATTCTCAATCACTTTTTAATGTTTAAGAAATAAGAAGTATAGAAAATAAATATTTTAATTATTAAACATTGAATTGAAAGTAATAAATAATATTTATTTAATTTAGAAATTAAATAAAATCGATAATATTTTCAAATAGTTTTTTATTTTTTTAATCCTTTGATTAATCCTTTTTAAATCTCCTAAATATTGTATTTTTTCATCCAAGACGAAATACAATAATCAAACATTTATTTAAGAATAACTCATTTTTCAAACAAAATTTTATAAT